GCTGTACATTGCAATGAAAAAAGAAAAATTTATGATACCGGGACCTAAAGTTAAAACTATGTTCTTGTTAGTGTAGTGGTGTGCCAGATTAGCCCAGCTAACCAAAAGGTATATAAATTGCTAACCTCTATCACTCATAAYGTGATGCCGTGCTGAAAACACACAACTAATGTAGTACAATCTTCTTTTTTCAGTTTTTATTGCAGTAAAGTAGGAGAAGGTTGCAGCCCGAGGCTCCAGCCTGTGCACGGGTCTGGGACATTGTAATCTGTGCCTTTTTTCACTAATGTGGGACATTAGTATATCCAAAGAGAACTTGATACTAAATGATCCTTTCAGCAGCAGTGTTGCTATAGGGAAAGCCACTATAAAGTGCAAAAAGCTATGAATTTTAGCAATCGAACAGAGGMGTGTATTCATGTAATAGTGTATTCTGGCACATCTGGTGCCTGCTGGATATAGGCAAAGTTATAACGGTGCCGAGCAGTAAGATTCCTATCACTTAAATAAGCCTCAGTAGGATTAACAGTTTAGGTGTTCCCCTACCTGTCTCAGCTGTGGGAGTCGATCTTTTGGCAGCCTTCAGCTTACTTAGGAAGTCAGTGATTAGGGCACGGAAAGAGGAAGATGAGTAAAATTAAGTATTAATTGAGGCTAGCGAGGGTGCCTGTGAATGGCTTTACTCGCAGGTTCTACTTGGGACAAGGGATTCCAGTGAACAGCCTGGCGTGCAGGCTAAATTGCTGATTTAGTAATTAATTGCTAGTCGCTAATTGCTGGCCAATTGCAATCAATTTAAAGGACAGCTAGAAATACCAAAACTATCACATTTCTGTGCATTTCTTAGAACCGTAGCGTCATTCGGGTTGAGTGGGAGGCCTGTAGGTTTCTTGCTCATTCTCTTGCTCGGAGTTAACAGTGAATTCAAGCCTGGTTGCTCAGGGCTTTGTGCAGTGGCACAAAGGCCTCCAAGGCCTCCAAGGCCAGGGACACTCCACAGCCTCAGTGGGCACCCTGTTTCAGTGCTTAATTATCCTCATAGTTTTCAGTCATTTGCAAACTTGATTAGAGGGCATGCCATCTCCTCCTACAGGTCAGTGGTAAAGATATTAACAGGACGGATGTCAGGATAAGCCTCTGAGAAACCCTGATTGTAGCAAGCCTCCAAGTAGAACATAAAACATTAACCGCTACTTTTCAAGCCCACAATCCTGSCAGTTTTTTCTCTTCTAGTAGTCCGCCCACAGAGACCACAACAGCCAACCTGGCTATAAGGGTAGTGGGAAAGACTGTATCAGGAGCCTTGCTAAAGTCGAGGTGCTCTCCCCTCATGCACAAATTTAGCCATTCCATCATCGATGGCAGTCAGGCTGGTTAGGCACAATGCATCTAATCCCAAGGCTGAGGAACTTTATTTCTGGATTTACCCTTGGAGTTAGCAAGGGCAAATGCCCTTGGAGCTAGCAAGGGCAAATCCAGAAGTAGCAGCTTCTCAGTCTTCCACCCCATGGAAGACTGACGTGSGTTTGAGCTGCTCTTCCTCCACTCGTATAAGGTACAGGTGGAAGAGAGAAACCTGAATTGAGGTGATCCCCGTAAAAACAGATAAATAAATACTAAATAATAACGAAGAAGCCCTGCGGACGCAGGAGTTACCTGTTGTGCTTGGCCAGCTGGCCGGGCTCGCGGCGCCTCACGCCGGGCCCTCAGCACCCACATGTGGGGCTGGCCCCACACGGCCATGGCCTCTGCGTGGGGCAGAGGGAGGGCAGGGCCTCCTCAGGGAAAGGCCTGTTAGTAGGAGCAGTGCTCATTTCCAAGCGGGCATAATGGGTTAGAGCCATGGATTTGAAGCAGTAAAGCAAGAATTTGGGCCCCCTTCTTGCTCAAAATAATGTAAGGGACAAAATAATGTAAGGGACTGATCAAGGGGCGTGCTCCGTTCCATTAGACTGAAAATGCATAGTTTTCTTTTTATGTGGTTTTCATTATAATGTCTGTAAGTAGTACTTGCAAACAATGTTTTATGAAGGTGAGATTTTCAGACAAGAAACTTGGAAGAAAGAGAGAAAGCTGTTCATAACTTACCCTCTTGTGCCCAGGTATATTAACATCTGGAATGTTATGCTGCCTCTTGCAGTACCTCTGCAATACTGTAACACAGCAGGATGCATTAATGAGAGTTTCAACCTTAAACCCACAACATCAATGAAATTTATAGTTGTCAGGCCGTTAACATTACTCAAACATAGTTTTTGTGGTTTCAATTCCGATTTTATGTTCGTGTAGGAAGAAAAGTCATTGTGTTGACTGGCCATGAAGACAGATTCCTCCTTGGACTTGAAATTTCTGTAAACTAATTAAGTATTGTTTATTGCTCCTGACAGCATTCATAGAGTGCATTACAGTTTGGGGCTTTTTTCTTTTTTTTTTTTCTTTTTTTTTTTTTTTTTTGTATTTGTATAAAAAACAGTGCTAGAAAATTTCTCTCTTAATATTTCAACTGCTTTTAGTGCTTCTTAAACACGAAAAGTGACTTTCTCACCTTTTGGAAAATACCACAAAAGTGTTCAAAGCAGAGAAAAAAAAGGTATATAAAATCCAAGTATCTTTTTTTCTCAAATCCTAAATGCTGTCTAATATCCCACCTGATGAGAAAATTTGTTTTCATTTGTTTCATGTTCTTCTGCTCTTGCATCTCAGTGTGGTCTTGTGGAGCTTAACTCGGAGAGCAAGATGGTTGAAGAACATAGAAAAGAATGGCGAATTTCTCATAGGCAAAGCTTTAGGAAAAGATATGGTGAACTCATGATTAAGTCACTCTGTAGTAAACTAAAAGAGTTAAATCTGCAACTGATTAAGTTAAAAGGAAAGAAGGGAAGTCAATCAGTAAAAAGCACGTGTGCAGTTACTCTTTCTGGTAAGGAAAATACAATTTGTTGCTTCTAGAAACAAACAAGGCCACAACATTTACAGCGTTCAGAAGTTGGGTTTTCTTACTGTCTTAGGCTTTGTGGTGATTCCAGAGCAATCTCAGGAAGCAGTAAAAATAAATCCCTCTGTCTCTTGATGTATCAACCTGGGTATTAGCAGCTTCCCCATGTTGTGTCCGTCTTCCAGAATTTCTCCATGGCTCTTGAGAGTGCAAACCCTGTCTCTGCGTTCAATATGTTGCTCGCTGCTGCCAAGCCTCTAATAGCTGCAGGCATGTGCTCTGTTAATCGTCTCTCTTTGTTCTGGAAGCCCCTCTTTTGGTTTCCTAATGAATTTTTCCCCTGCTCTCATTATTTTYTTCCCATCGTTGCAGCACAGGACATTTTTTTGGTTTGGTTTGGTTTGGTTTGTATTTTTGCCTATTTAACAGCAAATTTGAATGTAGAAGCAACAGATGGCCACGTGTTTTGACAGTGCCTGCAACCTCTCTTAATGTGCCTCCAAACTTAAATTAGATTTCCATGTTGCAATCCCAGGAGCGTGGTGCCATAGCCAAAGTCTCCCTGTTCCCAGCAGACAGTGTTGAGGCCACATGGGCACAGAGAACGAGTTAGGATTTTCTGCCGGGCTCCTTCCTAAGTGGCGGTGTATTTGTAATGTTACAGGCTGGTGCTAAATAGGTGATCCTAGTCCCGRGGAGCAGTTCATGGTGTCCACCAGAAGGACTTACTGAGCTGCATTTCATGTGAAACGGGAGGGAACTGGCAAAGGGATCTTCTGGCTCCTGCTCTTTGGAAATGCCTCATGCCGATTCCTTAATAGTGTGGGAAAACATCTGCTGGGCTTTTCCTAGGCTTGGGCTGCTACGGTTTCTGTCAGCCGAGGCTCCCATGCCTGTCATTGTGAAGGCAGATCGGCGGACTCTGCCGCCTTAGGCCGGGTCCTGCAAGGAGCAGCCCAGGCTCTGCCTTGGGGCCSGTTCTCCAGGCCCTGGGGCAGCCTCCTTGCTCCTCGCTGCCCTGCCAGCCCCAGCGGCAGCCCCTTCCCTCCCGAGAGGAGCAGCCCTTCCGAGGGCGGCGCGTGCGGGAGGGCCAGGGCCGCTGCTCCCCGCGGCCGCTGCCTCCGGAGCCCGCAGGGCTCGCCACGGCCCTGGGAGCCGCAGGAAGCCCATGTGAGCGATGCCCTGCGGATCGGGAGACATCTCCRGACAAGACCCTTCCATAGGAACGAACAGCACTGCCTTTGTGCCCATGTTGGGCCTGTAAATCACCTCCGGGGTCACCTTGCTGCCGCGTATCTGTCTTATCTACTGCTAAATTRCTGTGCACAAACATGCAAAGGGGAGAGGGATCTCGGTACAGCTCAGATCTGCGYTCAAGTGGCTTGAACCAAGTTCTCACCATAGTAGTACTATTTTTTTTTCAGTTTAGCGTTGACTCATTTGGTGGTGTTAAAGTGCACTTTCTACTTATCCCCAGAGGAAAGTTAGTATTCTTTTAAGTGAAACTWTTTTAAAAGCAGAGCACAAACCTAAAATAAGCCAGTGTTCTCTAGAGTTCTCAGAAGGTGTAGATTTATTTACTGTAGTTAAATCATAATTAGTTCTCAGGGGATAGTGTATCTTTTAAACTGCTTTATTGCCACCGTATTGGTTTTCCAAATAATCAGAAACTGCTGCTATATTCGGTACTATGAGCAAAAATTTGCTGTAAGTAGAAACAAATGTCTAGAATTGCTAGTTGTCACTTACCGAAGATAGTGACATACAAAAAATAAGCACCTCAAGAAATGTGAAGAAATACAAAATGTACATTTTCAGAAGGTGCCTTAAATGAACGACAGTTATAACTTTTTCCAGCATAACGGATATAGTCAAGTTTTCCGTAATAATTTTTCAGTCAATCTTTTTTCTTTAATACTTGAATGCTTTTTCATAAAGAATAAACATTAACTGTTAATGGATAAATGGTAATATAATGTTATGTAAGTTATTAGCTTACGTTTAATATAGGTTTTCATGAATGTTCCAGCTGATAAACTCTTTTCTTCTTTCTTCCATTTGGCAGGTTAATGTTCAAGTTGCCAGAGGAGATGGGTTTAATAGCAATTGCTGTTAGACAAACACAAGGGAAAGGTTGGTATGTTTCCTTCTAGTGCTGATAAATGCATCTTAAATGCATGGAATAGGGCATTTTAGCATTGTCTACCTGTGTTAAAGATACATTATATTTATTTTTGATGTAATCGATTGGATAGTAGGGGCTTCTTCCTCCGCTTAGCTGTGGATTCAGACTTGAAACCTAAGTGATTAGATCCCGAAATAAGCATTTTTAGGAGGTTAGGTGGCTCTTGCAGAGATGATGTAGCAGGCTCCCAGTTTCTACCAGAAAGTCTCCGCAGTCGTGGAAGTTGCCCTCCCTACATTTGGTCTAATTCAGGTTGGACCTCCAAACCAAAACTTGTTGATTTAACCGGAGCAAGACTGGGTCTGGACTTGCTCTGAGCTAGAGGTTGCTTATATCTACTGGACTGTCTTTGAGCTGTCCTTTGGGTTTTCACAGTCTTTTGCAGATAAATAAAAGCAATTTCTGCCTGRTTTCCAGGAAGATGCTAGCTCATATTTAAAAGCTGTACTAATTTTAATATTAGCCCGAACTTGTAGCTCATCTGAGCGCAGCTCTACATGAAAATGCTTGCYTGGGTTTAGACTCAGATCTAGTTTGTGTCCTGTTCAGTCACAAATGTGGACAGATTTGTAGATAYACAGAGGATCTTTACTAAGATACTCTTTAAATACATTTTACACTTTAAAACACTTTAAAACATTTTTTTGGAAACATGTATACAGAGTACTAGGAAAATCCTGGAAACAAATCATTATTTGTTTTGAGAAAATTAGTAGCAGAAAACATATAAACTACTTGCTGTTTTTAAAAGGGGAAAGGTTTGCACTTTAACATTTTTTCTTTTGAAATTAGTTTGAAAACTCCCTGAAAGGACATCCTGCAAATTCTCGAATACCACTGCATCTTTTGCTTTTGTTACTGTCTCTGTTAATGTTAAGTTAAAAATGTATATATGTATTTGTTTTCTTGTGTTGAAGTAAATTTTTTTCTCCTTCCACAGGTCGTGGTGGAAACGTTTGGCTCAGTCCCGTGGGCTGTGCACTATCCACTTTACATATCACCGTTCCTCTCTACTCCAACCTGGGCCAGAGAATCCCTTTCGTTCAGCATCTGGTGTCCTTGGCAGTGGTGGAAGCGGTTAGATCAATACCAGGATATGAGGTATCTCATTTTCATTTATGTCAGTGTTCCTGTTTCCATTTGCACTAAATGGAGATTTTAACTCAATATGCTGAATGAGCAAATGCATCATGTAGTTCTTCAGCACTAATACGGTGGGAAACATTAAATTCAACCTTCCTACATAATTGTTTATGTATATTAAGTGATCTACGGTGAACATCATATGGTGAGTACTGCATCCTCTCGAGCTGGCTAAGAATACTACACTCATTTCACTCATAATCTGATGAAACTTAAGACTCTGTCTTCAGCAGTAAAGACAGTTTAATTTTGGTTTGTCTAACAATTGAGTTAATTTGTTTTGATTTTTGAAAGAGCTGAGGAAAAGGGAGGAGGGAAAATGAATAAAACTGACAAATCCTTTTCTTTTTCTTTTTTTTTTTTTCCTTGATGGTGCTGTTTCAGTGGTCACTTTATCCCTTTTAAAGAATTTTTCCAACCCTTGTTTAAGGTTGAAAACTGATTTCTAAAGCAAGAAGTTAGGAGTATTGCTCTCAGGAGGGAATCAAGTGTCCTGTCATCAGTATTAAAATGAAGAACCAGTCTTCTTCTTCACCTCATATATCTCCCTTTTAATGTTACCATTTCCTAATATTTGCTAACTATAAAACTTTGGTATTTTACAGAAGTAGTTAACTAAAGCATATGTTTCCTATATTACACAAAATCAATGACTTATACACATTTACACATGAACTTTATTATAGTGGCACCCAGTAGCTTTGCTGTAGTTTAGGGTCTGTCAGCCTTTCTATTAAAACCTTCTAACTTCAGTTCTTCATGACTTGACTATAAAAACAAAATGCTCCGGGCTAAAATTTGCAATATAAAATATTTGGCTAGGAGTGAATAATTTAACTATTTAGAAGAGAAGGGACAGAGGACTTAGTTGTATAAAATATGAGAGTCTGACTGAGGGAAGGAGTTAATTTACGAATTGAGGTGTTTTTGCCTCTGAATGCCTACCCTAGTGCACTGTGGCATTTTTATTCTGTTTCATTCAAGAGGAAAAATGTGACTGACTAATACTGAATAATAATATAAAAATAGTGTGGATTAGTAATACATATCCTAGGGTCTACCAATCTTATTGYGATACTTGCTGTTCTCCCAGTAGTGTAGTTTGTTATACCCAAGACAAAGCTTTCTGTTTTACAATAGAGAAACACACATTAAAAATTCTTTTACAGTTGTCTCGGAACATTTGTTCCATATTTGGACGGTCTGAATTCTGCTGTTAATGATCACAAAAGTAAACAAAACTGATGGTTTTTATGGTTATTGATAATTTTTCCATCATCCTCAGCTTGGAAGGAGAAAGGGCTGCTGTGTCATCGAAAAGTCTTTTTTCTTTCTTCTCTGGTAGGGCAAGAAATCAAATGCTAGGGAAGGGCTAAAGCAGTGTTCAGGTGTGGATCCTAGTTGTGCTAAAGCACGGAAACGGACGGGTTTCTGTGACACTCGGCGGAGTTGACGCGGGGCCAGGGCTTCCCGCGAGAGGGGCGCGCGGCGCGCGAGCGAGCGGCAGGAGCGGGAAGCCCCGGGCTGAGGGGGAGCCCAGCCTTCCTTCTTCGCTCCGGATCTCCCTGCCTCCGGGGGCGTCCGTCAGGACCTTGGTATTACTTTAACATACTGTAATGCCCTTTGTTAGGCTCCAGGTCCATTTCAGGGTTTCTCTACAGAGGTAGCGGATGCGGTGGTGTCTCTGTTCATCAGCCAGGCGTCACCGGTAGGGCTGTGTCGAAGGGCTGGCGGTTGAGGGAGAAAATCARGTAGCTCGGGCAATCCTGAGCTTTCTTTGCACGTGGTAGTGCCGTGAATGCCAGCGGGCCTTATATCCAGAGGGCTTTCTGCTTTCCCGTTCTGAGAACAGGTAAAATCTCTCTCCAGTAGGTGAAAATAAGAACTTTTGGAGAAAATAAGAACTTTTGGAGCTTTTGAGTTTGAAGTTTCTGTTGGATTTTGTAACCTTCTCATGATTTCTTTGCCGCACTGGGAGCTGTGCAAGACTTCACCTTGTTGCTCTGTTTTGTGGCAAATAACTCGGGTCACCACCATRGAGATTGTGGCATGAAAATACCCGACTGACTCGAGTGTTCTCTGTCTTCCCTTGCAGCTCTGAGCGTGTGGTGTCTTACAGGTGTATGTTTTTCCTTAAATGCAATCTACGTGAATGTACAGTGATGAATTTGCATGAGGAATAGCGACCTCTCCCTCGGGTGCCCTCAGAGGATCTCTTAACACTGATAATGCCGGTTAACTGGGGGATACTTGGCCTGTCTCCAGAGCCCTCTGCAAATGCTTTCGCAGTGTCAGGAGGCAAGTTGTTTTCCGTAATGAATACGAATTGGTCACAGTCGCTCAGAGCCCTTTGATAGCAAAATCAGTTCGTGTTTCCTGTCACTGGATGTATAATGGACCCCTCTCTGGCCTTTAAATCTGTCAGGAAAGTAGCCACGGACCCAGGTGCAGTTTTCACACATCCTGTAAAGGGATTTCATAATCTACAATAGTGGGGAATGCGACTCTTGTAGTCCTGGAGCACCTCCCGTAATTTGCCTCTTGGGATACGGTCATATGCAGTTTTTCAAGCTCCAGGAAGCACATTTGCTTTCTTTTTGTGTTTAAGTAGCTGGTGCAAAGTTCAGTTCAGTGCTGTGGTTTCAACAAAAACCTCTCTATTGCACTGGAATGGTGTCACACAGCACAGTTTGTGTTTCCAGCGCCACGGCGTTGCTTGAGCGTAGCCGCCGAAAGCGTGAATATTTTTAGGACGTTTGTGGAGTATTTGCATAGTTGTGACCTGGAATTTCTCCTGTCTGCCGAATTTCCTTTCTGAAATTCAAGATGTCATTGTCTCCACGTCTGGTTCCTGCCAGGGTCCTCACGGCCGGCCGGGATGGTGTCATGGGCTTAGGCTGGTGGTTTATCAGGTCCATAGGTGCTGCCACAGTTTGCATCTTTCTTGACTAAACCTTTTCCAGTCCTTCGCTGGCACTCATGAGTGGATTGAATGAATTCTTTAAAACCTGACAGTTTGTGATGGAAAATATCACTAGTCCCTCCTTTGGGTTCTCCAAGCTATGATTATCTACAAATAATTGTACTTTTTCACTAGATACCTTTTTCCAACAGCTGGAGCTCCATAGCAAACTGTGTWCCATGATTTGGTCAGTAATGCCTTGGGAACACACACATGGGAACACACACTTATTATGAAGAGCTGGCTGTATCACATTCACTGTGGCCAAGAGGTACATAAAATACAAAAGATAAACTGAGGAGTAAGCCCTGCTTTTATAGGCAACACCAGAGAGCAGAGTGTTTCTAAATGTCTGTGTCCTTGTTTTTTAGGGTATTGAACTGCGGGTGAAATGGCCCAACGATATTTACTACAGTGACCTCATGAAGCTCGGTGGAGTGCTGGTGAACTCTACGCTTATGGAAACAACGTTTCATATACTTATTGGTAAATGTCTGTTTTCAAGCTTTTTTGTGTTACTTTTTCTGAAGACATTTGTCGTTAATGTTACTGAGCTCAAATGGTAAGGACAAGAACAAGAAATGACAGAAACCTGAGGAAATGAAGTACAACATTAAATTAAAAGATAGCACAAACAGTAATTGTCTTAATTCCTCATACTGATTCCATATGCTTGGCAAAAAKAACCTAAATACAAGCATCTGAGTTGGAGTAGCAGGCTTCACATAAAAAGCAATGTGTATGTGTTACTGATGTTTTCATCTCTCCTTATTCCTTTTTTAATTTGTTCATAACCTTTTTCTGCTGATACCTTTCCAGAAATCGGAATATTGCTAGTTAAGCAGTGAAGTAGCAGTGAAGTGATTTGRTTACTTAGTCACTCTCTTTTTGGTTCTTGGAAAAAAAGTAAAAATTGCCAAGTCATTGGAAGACTGGGAGAGGAAGGAAGGATGATCTACATGTTCATTATTTGGATTGTTTCGAGGATGAAGAGCCTACCTCAAAGGCCATCTTCAAAAAGATGACAAGGCCGGTCTCAGAAAAGACTGTGCAGATATTTTCCAGCTGGTCCTAGGGCTAAAACAGGGAAATATTTCTGAGTGCACAGTAAATATTGACGTTTTTCTATCATCATTCTGCCTTTTTCAAGTCTGATAACCAGACTGCAAATGGATAAGGAATATTTTTCCCRTAACCAACAGCAGGCACAGATCTGCCACCCATCCTCAGAAACCTGCCACAGGAAGCACCAGCTCCTGGTGCCCTCAAGTAATTGTGTTATATCTAAGAAAATGAAGCCCCTTGCCAAGTCCAGAGGTTTAAACAAGAAGCTGATAGTACTTGCTTGGGGCCTGAACATAGCACAGAGTGTAAGTAGAGTGTTTTGCAAAGAGTGTGTGGACAGGATAGGGTCAAGATGGTCTAAGTTTTAAGGTGCAGGCAAGCAAAGCAGCTAAAGTGTCCTCGCCTTCTTCTGTGAAACATGCTCAGCCATTACATGCTCTTTTGAACTGTTACGTCCCCCTTTTTAAAATAATCTATGAGTGCAGCAGGGAAACTGCACAGAGACACTTAAGAATCTCTCTGTGCCCTTTTGGGAATTTACTGATTCCGKTTTTTTTTTCTGGAGCTTATATTTCAACCTTATATTTCAACATTTATCACAAGATAACACAAAAAAGCAAAAATGGCTCAAAAAAAAAGCTCACCTTATCAAAAATCTATCTGCATGTTTTGTCTTGGTTTTGGACCAAGGACTGTATAGCTAAACACAGTGCCACAGGGTCCAGAGGCTGGAGCACTGGGGTTTCTGAGGAGCCCTCGGCGCTCATGCCGTGACGCTGCAGCTCGCACGGGCACCGAGGCCCCCAGCCCACCCTGGCAGCACGAGGCAGCATCAGGAGCACCCGCCTGCTCATCCCTTCTGCGCTCGTCCAGCCTCGGGGTGCACGGCGGAGCTGTGACCCCTCAGCTGGGCTCTGGAGCTGAGACCCTCAGCTGGACACTGGAGCTGAGACCCCTCAGCTGGGCTCCAGAGCTGAGACCCTCAGCTGGGCTCTGGAGCTGAGACCCTCAGCTGGACACTGGAGCTGAGACCCCTCAGCTGGGCTCCGGAGCTGAGACCCTTTAGCTGGGCTCCAGAGCTGAGACCCTCAGCTGGGCTCCAGAGCTGAGACCCTTTAGCTGGGCTCTGGAGCTGAGACCCCTCAGCTGGGCTCCAGAGCTGAGACCCCTCAGTTGGACACTGGAGCTGAGACCCCTCAGCTGGGCACTGGAGCTGTGACCCCTCAGCTGGGCTCTGGAGCTGAGACCCCTCAGTTGGACACTGGAGCTGAGACCCCTGAGCTGGGCTCTTCTTTGACAGCACTGCGGCTTCCTCTGTAGACATCCTCTGAGGAGTTAAAAAAGAGAAACTCCTTTTCAGAAGGATTCTTTTTTTTTTCTCTTCTTTCAGAAGAAAACCTTCTCATGATTAGTATGAATTAATTCTCTATATGCACAGTCTCACTAATAGCAAATTTACAAAGCAATCCATGTGGAGCTTCCCTCAGAAGAAGGTGTATTATGTCTGAGCCTGATTGACAGGACTAGTGTTTTATCCCAAGTGTCTGAGGACATTAGGAAGAATAAACAAACAGGTAATACAATATATTTCTTTACATCCCTCGAAGCCTATTTCAGCATACTGCAAAAAAAGGCCCCAAGAGACATATTTAAATAAGAAAGGCATTTGGCCAACATTATTCAGGCTGGAGAAATCTCAGTGAGAGACTTGAGGCTTCTCAAGGATACACTGTGGTAAGTTAGATTAAGCAAGCGGGGGCCTTTCCACACCAGCTTAAATCTTCTAGGCTTTTCAGAGCAAGGCAAACAAGGCCTGTCAGCTGAGCAGAAAGGCTTGCCTGCAGAAAGGGAAAGCAGCCAGCTGTAGTAAACAGAAAGGAAGGACCCTTGGCTCAGTTTTAATCGGAAAGATGAAAATCCATCTCAGAATATGATCAGTGATGTGCTCTCAAATTGCTAATTACCTATCAGCAAATTCCAAGTTTTCCAGTTTCAGTGTCTCCAACCAACATGAGGCCAACGTGCCAGTTTCCAGCCACCTTCCAAACGCCCCCGGGGRTGGTGGTTCTTTGAAAGGGCCGCATTGGTTCTGCTTCCATCGTTTGGGGGAGCGTTTTAAGGACAAGAGACACAAAGTCTGGACTGGGATTTGTAGCTACGCTGCTAGGGAGATTTAGACATGTAAGAGAGTAAAGGAAAATATTTACTGGAAATACCCTTAATGATCATTGCAACTAGTTAAAAAAAAGTAGTAACTTTTTAATGGTAATGAAATATTCACATTTACAGAAGAATGAACATTTTTTGTCCTCGTCTTTTGATTTGTCCTCCCAGGCTTTGGGTTTAACGTGGATAACAGCAACCCCACCATATGCATCAACGATCTCATCCGGAAATACAATAAGGAAGAGGGGACACAACTGAAGCCTTTAACTGCAGACTGTCTCATTGCAAGAACTGTAACTGTACTGGAGAGGCTCATAGATGTTTTTCAGGAGAAAGGGCCCAACGGAGTTCTTCACCATTACTACAAGTACTGGATACACAGGTGAGTGCAACTTTCTGCTCCTCTGCTAACTTTTTTTCTTCTTTTTCCTTATTTAAGCAATAGGAAATAACCCATGGATGTTTTGTCTTCCCGTAAGCAAGCGCTGTGAGACTGCCCTCAAAAGCAGTGACTTAATTAAAATACATTCCTGAGTAGGAAGGAGTTTCGCAGGGGCGAATACAAGTAGTACAGAGCGAGATGAACGTGCGGGCAGGAGTTAAGGAAAGCTCCTCGGCATTTCACACCCGTTGTCTTGGAGCAAGGGTCACGGGGAGGGCTTTGCGTAGCTAGTGATGGAGCTGCCGTGCTCGTGACTTTACAAGAAGAGCAGACAATGTAGATTAGCTGCTGATTTTACAGGAAGAAAGTAAAGCAGGAAATAAAACATGCTCTGGAAAAAAGAAAGAAAGAAAGAAACAGTAAAATGAGAAATTAAGGTAGGACAGCTAGGCAGTCCTCTGTGCTGCTGCTGGTGGCTGGTGCCGCCTCGCGCCGCTCACTCCGAAGTGCCTTTGCTCCCTGCAGCGGGAAGCGGGTGCGCCTGCGCAGCGAGGAGGGCCCCGTGGCCTGGATCGTGGGCATAGACGACTGCGGCTTCCTGCAGGTGCACGAGGAGGGCAAGGGCGTCGAGTCCGTGCACCCCGACGGCAACTCCTTCGACATGCTGAGAAACCTCCTCGTCCCCAAGCGCTAGGAGCGCCGCGCGCCCGCGGCACTGCCTGCTTAGGCTTGGCTTTGCTCGTCTCTCATRTCTCCGTTGCTCGGCACGGGTAGCATCAAGGCTTTAAGGAAAAGTAATGACCTCATTGCTGAAGACGTTTATTCTTCTGTAGCAATTWAAAAAAATTGCTTTGCTGCTCTTTGTAAGCAGCTGCTCTTTGATAGGAATCTAATTGTAGAGGAAGACTTTGCAGTGAACTTCCTGTTCATTTACACACTGTGTTTAGAGAAACTGAAGTAGCTGCTCATTTTCAAAATGTGTCTGTGCATTATTTTTATTGTGCTTTAGCACAGTGCAAATCTCTATCTTTTTTCAATACTTTTTCTTAAGTAAATTCTGTTTTATGCATTGCCCGTGATGGAGCTGGGAAGAGCTCATCGTGTATTTCTGAATGATGGGGCTTCACATTCTGTGTATTTGGGTTTGGGTCTAATAAATAAAACCCTTTAGAGCCTGAATGAGTTTGTTCTTCTCYGTGTGGGCCCACTTCACCAAACATCTCATGATCCATGAGCATCCCATGGTTTGATCCGGGCTCTGTAGCCATGTCTCTCCGGGAGTTTCCCGGCAGCACCTCGGGGCTGTGGATTCTTGTCCAGGTGGATTCGTGCTGTGCAGTCCTCAACCTGCTGCACATGAGCAAATCATCCCGCGTCTCTTGTGAGCCACGGTGTCCCGAGAGGTTTTGCCTCGCTGGGATTGCACGCTCCGTACGACGCCGTGTTGCCGTGCGGACCCGGGAGTCCGGCCCTGCTGCCGCCGGCTCCGCRCCGGCTGCAGCTCCCGGGGCTGCACAGCAGCGTCTCACACACCTTCGTGGTGCCGCGTGAACAGCTGCCTGTCAGGCTGGTTGGAATAAACTGCATGAACCACCGGTTTTGCTTTTGATGAAAAGGAAAATGCATTTTTGATTTCACAACTGCTTTGGGCTGTTAATTTTTGGCAGCTACTTTTATTTCGRAGTCAAATATTGATGCGTGTTACAATCCAGAGAAAATTGGATCTCTGTTAATAAAGTTGAAATACAAAGAAGGCCCCAGATCTGTATGTCATAAAAACAGAAGGGGAAATGTAGAAAAGAAATAAAGACACCCAAGGAAGAGGCGCAGAAGCCTCCAGGCATCTTCCACATACAGTGTCACTTCTCTGCTGCTTTTACCCCCAAGCGGCTTCGGAGCAGTGCGTGCTGTGGTGGCCAGCCGTGGAAAACCTCCTTCTGGGGGCGGGTTTCCCCCCGTGTCGTTTGAAGAAGCCTCAGGTCGGTATCTCAGGGCGCAGCGGGAAGCTTCCTGTCMGTGGGAAGCTGCTTTGGAGCCGTGGGCTGAGCCCAGGGAGCCACCCCCGCCTCGACTGAGCTGCCGGGCGGGCTGAGGAGAGTCCGCTCAGGTGTCCTTCGGGACGGCTCCGTGTGACCCGCCACATGCACCGGAGTGGTGTTGCTGCCCGCAGAGCTGCTCTCGCGGGCAGGTCCGGCGGGAGGACGGGGAAGAAATGGTGAGAGACGCCCCCGTGTCGGCCGGAGGGAGGCCCTGCAGAGCGCCCCGCTGAGCTCTGCACACCAGCTGAACCCGGCCCRCTGCCCCACGTGCACCAAGGACAAACCCTGTGATGTAAAACACCGGTACACCTGAAGCATGTACTCGGAACATCCGAGTAAATGCTAACGTCAAGAAAGGCAGTGCATCTTCTTATACCACTTATACTCACCTTAAGGTATAAGGGGAAGATGGCCAGTGAGCTTACTCTTTTTGTGCCAAACTTGGCACACCCAGGAAGACACCACAYTTAGCTTTGATAATCAATTTTTGTTTTGTTTTTGTTTTGTTTTGATAATCAGTTTATGTAAGACAGACAAATGTGGTGCGGAGCAGTTTCCGGACTTGAGCATGCACAGTCGCACAACTGCAGATCCAGGCGTGATGCACTGAAAATCTGCACTAAAATACCTACCTCAGTAAAACACTGCTTTCGCTGCAGGGTGCTCCTATCTTAGGCTCTTATCTTGACGAAGGGCTTTCAAAAACCATCTCCCACACTGCCCGTATTTCTGTGCCTTCAGTTTTTACACGTTGTGAAAATACCTTTGGAGTTTGTTTTTACTGATCGGAGAACTCCGGAGTGTGCAGGCTGCGCTGCGCTGTGCCTGTGCTCAAGCAATTGAAGCAGGTTGTGTCCAGGGGGAACCAGGGCAGTTTCCAAAGACTTGAAGAAGTCCATCCAGAAATACATTAGGGGTCAAGCAGAACATCTCACGACTGTTAAAATGTTATATAAGACCTTAGAGCATTTTTAAATATATACCCAGGAAACACATTTCAAAGGCTGTTACCTGGAAATAGTATATAGCATTTAAAAGCATTTAATATAACTTACATCTCTTTGCTCACTCTGACTGAGCTGCAAGACTTCGGCGGTCTGGAAGAGCCCGCGGGGGCTTCGGCCTGCRGAGATCCGTGCGGCGCCGCCGGCCTCGCTCCGGCTCCGGGGCCATCACATCCCGAGCGAGGAGCCGGCAGCGCGCGGGCGCGCGGCGGGAAGCAGCGCCGAGTCCCTTCTGACAAACCAGGCAGAACCCCGTGCTTACAAATCACACAGAATTGCCTTCCTACAAATCACACAGAATTRCCTTCCTACAAACAAAGCACAATTCCAGAAACACCCCGTCTGCCATCCTGACCGAAACTCTGCGGTCCGTGCTTAGAAAAGAAATGCAAGTCTTCATTCCTTTGGCTACAGGATTTTATTAATATTGTGATGGTTTTGTTTTACATAATAAATAGGCAAAAATGCTTTACATTTGTAGGGAATACATATATAATTCGGAGCATTAATAGGYTGGTTGTTTCCCGTGCTTTTCACCTACGTTTGCCAAAGAGCTCATACCTGCATCATATAAAAAAAGCAAAATCTAATGTTCYGGGGAAAAAATGGAATATAAGTTTTCTGTGTGTTCTCCTGAAGTATAACTGAAAGRTTGAAGAAATATCAGTGTCATGTTTTATGATTTTTTTGGAGAGAAATGCCATATTCTGGCAGGTCTCCCATTCATAAAAACAGCGTTTCAATTTTACCTCAGTGATATATTCTCAGAATTTGAACCTATTGTCCACTGTGCTTAAATTCATTAAATTTCTTAAATAACCTTTTCGTAACTACAGGGCTACTGTGGTCCGGGGAGAAGTCTGCTACCTTATTTACACTGCAGAGCTCCTGTTAATAAGAGAAAATCTTTGAGACATAATTCAGGACTAATGTTCCCAGCTTCTTAGAAAAACGTTCCTTCTTTCTTCTCTTTTTCTTTCTCTCTCTCTTTCTCTCTCTCTCTCTCTCTCTCTCCATATCTTCTACTTCCTATGCCTAAACACCCCCGAGACACAAAATGCTGTCAAGTCACTTGAAAAAGGTATCTATGGCTCAAATAAGCGTGGCAGAGAGAAATGAGGCTACTTTTCATAACATTTTCCAATTCAGGCTCTACTTATGTGGCATTTTTTTCCCATTTATTAAGGACATTGGCCCTGTCCATGGCAGTGCCGCCGCTGCATCCCGTGAGTGCGAGGAACATCTGTAGCTTCTCCGGCTGAAAGTCTGTGCTGAGCTCTTGCTTGTCCCTCCGTATAATTTCCTCGCATTCCAGACGTGAACAGGCAATTGGGGTTTCTATTTCGGAACGGCAGGAAAAATGCTTCACACATTTTTTTAATCACAGCCCTTTTGTGAGGCCTATTCGATATTATCATCTGCGAAGGCATAATTGGTTCGTTATTTCCTAACAGGGGAAAGTCATGTCTCTGAATATCGCGTGCCGTAAAGCACGTGTGGGGGAACAAGGCGGCACCGCCGCGGCTCGTGCCYGTTGAGTAGGGCCCGAGCGTGTGAGGAACAAGGAAGGCACCAGAAAATGCTTGGTGGTGGTTTACYGAAAAGCACCAATGGCGTTTTTGAACCGAAGCCAAATTTGTGTGTTCTTGAGAACATGTTTTTATAATGAGGTGCACTCCCGAGAACAGCAACGTGCACGAGACTGGCTGGGGGTGCAGCAAGGCYGCTAATGAGGTATAAGGAAAAGTGCCGTGGGAAGGAGCTGTGCATCGGGTTTCCTTTTAACGATGCGCACGGTGTCAGCCAGGCCTTTGTGGGGCATGGTTCTGATTTAACAAAACCAGCGCTCAAGGCTCAGCTTGACCGGGTCTTTGGGAAGGCGGTCGGGTCGGGCTGCCAGCGGCCGGGGCGGATAAGCAGAGGCCCCTAAGGCACCTCGGCCTCTCATCGTTGCCCTTGCCCAAGTCAGAGCAATAATAAAATTCACTCCTAGCGTTCCTTCAGCTCTGCTACCTTCCCCAGCCTTAGAAACACCAAAGACTGCAATTATGCTGAATATATTCATTTGGCTTTGCTTRTTTTTTCCCCCAAATTTGTTATTTGGTAATGGATGAGTAGGTATTTTTGTTAATATTTATCCTGAAAGATACCTTTGTTGCTTCTTCTAGCAAATGAAAAGTCAGACAACTGTGAACTTCCAGGTGTACGGATTTTACTTCAGAGAAGTCGTCTCTGTTAGCCTTTTAATTGGAAGCAATAAAAATAGTGAAAATGATTTTCAAATACACGTTCTAGAGCATTTGCTTTCCTCATAACAATAAATATTCATACATGCAAGGAGGTAACTGCRTTTTATTGCTGCATATAGAGACAGAGAAGGTGTCATTAAAAAAATGTGTGCATTTTATTACATCCGTTAAAGTGTTTTTATCTGTCAAGGTGCAACCCGCGAGGAAGTGTTTTTCCATATTGCACAAGCCAGGTACGAAGCGGCTCGTTTCGAGAGAGACTCCTGCAGAGAGCCGGGTGAGAGCAGTGAAACGTTTGCAAGATGTAAACTCGCCCTGGGTAGCGCTCAGCGCGGGGCTGGGCACGGGCAGGGCTGGATGCAGCCGCGCCGGCTCCGCAGTCGCCCTCCCGCAGCGCGTCCCGCGCTCCGCTGCTGCCGGGGCCGCTCGCTGTTGGGGGRCCCTCGTCGTCCTAGCGGGAGCTCGCGGGGATACGGGGGGCGGAAGGGCACCGCGGCAGGGCACGCAGCCCTCCGCACGCGGCCGCTGTTCCTCATCTGTAAACTTCACCAAGTTATAAAAGAAAGGAGGGGGGAAAAATCTATTCCTAATATGCTGGGAAAATAATTAAATGCATGCTGCGTACATTTTGCTTGCTACGGGTTATTGGTGCAAATCGAGCTCTGTGTGCCCTGCGCAGTCCATGTACTCAAACTCTGCCTTCCTTCAGTCCGTTCTCCATTTCCTTCAGTCTAGGAAACCTGGTTTTCCGTTTGGTTTTGTTTTGTTTGAGGTTGTGCAATGACTTCTCGTATGCAGACTGTCCACGCACCGCATTCGTGGAGTGCATGAATCAGTCGAATATTAATCTTACCTTTGTGCTCACAAAGAGATTTATGCTTAAG